CATACGACATTATCTGTGAAATTACAGGCTTGATGTAAGTTTAGATTTTTTCCTGATATGTAAGAAAATAAACATAACTATTAAAGCAAAACATGCCAGTTTACCTTCCATCTGAAACTGCTTTTGGAAACTACTGATCAAGTGGAATAAACATGGACTTTATATCGAGGTAGATCTGGGGTTAACTACTGGGTCTGTTACCTAATTATATAGTCTGAGTCACTTAGTGTCCTCAGTTCTTGGCTCCCTGATTTGTTTGGTTTGAGACAGGATCTTGCAACATACTCTAAGCTAGCCCTGAACTCATTATATAGCCCAGGCTGGTCTCAAACTCACCACCATCTTGCTTCTACCTTGTACTGGGATTACAGGTGTGTGTGTGTGCTCCATCACACCTGGATTTCCCTGGTTGCAAAACGAGGATAGTAATAGCCACCTTGCAGAGTTGTGAGGAATAAATGTGGTACGGTGAGTGCCCTGGGCCCAGACAGCTGCTCAGTACGTGTTGGTTGTTACTGTAGTTATTACTGTGGATATCTAGTTTATTTTCCAAAGACTGTATCTATGATGGAATATAGGCCTGTGGTTTTCTTCTAACACATACACATATAAAATTTCCACTTGTTAGGACTCCTGGTCCACCTGTATTATTTTGACTTCCCTGTTCTACCACATATTTGCTTTGTGAATTTGGACAATTTGCTTCTCAGTTCCCTGATTTAGTCCAGGTGTATGTATGTTATTCTAGCTCTGTTCCACTAGGGGGCCTTGAAGCAATGGCACCTAAGGTACTGGCAAAGGGCTCTCTTAGCACCTGTGACTTGTAAATAGTATTCTCCTCTTGAGGAACTAGGGATCCCTGGAGAAATGACTAGGGCACTAGAGCACAAGCTGAGGCTAGAACATCTTTTAGCATCAGAAACTAAAGAGCTGCTCAAAAGATATTGAGGATATTAAAATGTCACAGAAGTCAACCTGAGGGAACTCTCAGTGGTCAATTTTGGGACAATATAAGCAACATACTAAATAATGATAATGATGGATTATAACTCATACATATACATGATTTTATATTGATATAGATAATTGAATAAATAATGAATGAAGCTCTTTTTTTTAAGTAAAATTCTGGTTAATAAATGTAGAAAGAATGATGGAAATAGGAACATAAGTATTTGACAAATGCCACAGTAATTACTGTTGTTAGCAAGAATCATTAATAAATTCTAAAACTTAATGTTTAGCTGGGCATGAGGCACATACCTGTAATCACAGAATTCGAGAGGCTGAGGCAGGGGGATTGAGTGTTTAAGGTTAGTCTGGGCTACCTAGTCTCAAAAATTAAAAAAGCAAAGAAACATTAATGAGTAAAGAATAAGTAGAATATTTGCATAGTATTAAGATATGCCTCCTTGACTGGCATGGTGGTACATAATCCCAGCACTTGGAAGGCTGAGGCAGCAGGATCACTGCGTGTTTGAGATCAGCCTGGGTTCCATAGTGAGTTCAAGGCCAGTCTGAACCAAGGTCAGTGAGACCTTGTCTCAAAAAACAAAAAACACAACAATAACAATTCCCCCAAGCTCCCCAAATGAACAAACAAACAAATGCAAATGGGGTATCTCTCCATGGATACTTAACAATTACAAGGAGAAAATTACAGTTGTAACTTCACGGACACTACCATAACCAGTTAACATCACCAGTAATGAGCTGGCCATGTCTGGAGCCTCCTGTACTAAAGACTTATCCCTCTGTGGTATTCTTGCCCAAAATTCATAACCTGAAATTAATCAGGAGAAAATATTGGACAAACTCACATGGAGGACATGCTACAAAATATTTGGAAGTATTTTTATTTTTAAAAATCCAGGTTATTGGCCAGGGATTTAGCTCAGCAGCATAAGCGCCTGCCTTGCAAGTGCATGGTTGTGAGTTCAATCCCTGGTACAAAAAAAAAAAAAAAGTAAAAATCGAGGTCATTTAGTCAGGCATGGTGGCTCACTCCTGTAATCCCAGAATTTATGAGGTTGGGGCAGGAAGATCATTACAAGTTCAAGACCAGCCTGGATCTTGGATTTGGGTTTTATTTCTACAAAGTGAGCTCAAGGCCAGCCTGAACTGCATAGCGAGACCCTGTCTCAAAAAAGACAAAAAGAAAAAAAAAAAAAAAGAAAAAAGAAAAAAATTGAGATCATAAAAAAATCAAGGTCAAGGAAGATGAGGAAAGACTGAGAAAATACCCCGGATTGGAGGAGACTAAGGGAACATAGCAGTTTTATTTAGCTTGGGATCCTGGGTTGGACTCTGGAGGAGATAAAGCGCATTACTTAGATGATTAACAAAATGTGAATGTTTGTGAGTTAGTTACCCTTCGTGCACCGATGCCAAGTTCCTGGTTCTGATAATCTTGTTATGGTTATGTAAGATTATTTATTTATTTATTACTTAAAGAGAAAAAAGAGAAAAAAAAACACAAAGCAGTAAAAGGGCACAAGTACAGAATTTCAAGAAAAACAAAAAAATATACAGTAAAAAACCACTAGTTAATAGATTACATATTGTCATCTTACAAACAGTTGTCCAAATTACAAAATTAAAGCATACAAAGTGGACATTCATTATGTAAGATTATTTAAAACAAACAAGATGAATGATGTACTGGGACTCTGACCAAATGGTCAACAGTTTTGAAAGCATGAGAAGTAAAAAGTTAAAAATATAAAAATGTGGGTTGTGGATTTAGCTCAGTGGTGTGAGTCCCTGCCTGGCAAGGGTGAGGTCATGAGTTTGATCCCCAGTGCTACCAAAAACAGAAAAAAAGTATCACATTTCCGTGAGGACAAATGAGATGAGGGCGTATGTGGGGAGTGCTTAGAACAATGCCTGAAACATAGGCCTTCTTAACACACGTGAACGCTTATGAACAGTAATTTTATAACTTATATCTATAGCGAATAACCTATTATTAAAAGTAATTTATTTTCTAATACTCTCATGTATTCTTACCTGTTTCTTTTTGACCCCTCCCCCTGTGGACAAAAAATACTGTATTGAGCACAGATGTGGTTATTTCTGGAGCTCCAACAAGAGCAGATATTGTGTTGGGACTTGTTTGGGGAGCTGTCATTTCCTGTGGTCACTCACTGGCTCAAGTGTAGGCTGGGAAGCAAGGTTGCTTTGCACCGACCGCTCCCTTTCCCGGGCGTTTGTGATGGCGCCACGGGGCTGCAGGGATGCTCTACCCCAGGACGACATCCTGTGCTCTAGGAGCTGCTTCACAAATTGTACGGTGCTCATTGAGTGAACACCTTCTAGATGCACGTTATAGGCCATTTAGTCTTCACAAGTCTGTGTGATAATTAGTATTTTATTCATTTTTAAGGTGATAAAATTGAGGTTCAAAAACGTTAGGTGACCTGTCTGGGCTTCCAAAGGTTTAGATCCTAACTTTGAGGCTGAATCTAATGTGTAGCTCAGTTTGAGAATTACTGTTACAGAGCAGTGGTTCTTCAAAAGTGGTTCTTCATGCCTTTCTCCCTCATTTGGCAATGTCTGGAGATACTTTTAGCTTTCTTATGGGTTGGGGTACGTAAGGGTTACTCGCATCTAGTGGATAGAGGTTATCTGGTTACTGCTGAAAATCTTAAATGCACACACAGAGCAGCCCTCTACAGCAAAGAATTGTTCAGCCCCCAAAGTCAACAGAGCAGCTATCAAATCCTAAAGCATTAAAAGGGCAAAATTTTGAACTGAGAAATTCGAGGACTTAGCTAATATTTACCGAGCAGTGTGCTGGATAGTGTGCAGGCTACAGGGACAAAATACACCAGTTTGTGCCACCAACGAGGTCCCAGTCTGGAAGGGCATGGATTGGAGGCCAGAGAGGCGCACACACACACACACACACACACACACACACACACACTTTCAGCTTGACACAAAATATAACCAATGCAAAGGGAGAATCAAGCGAGGGCTGAGAAAGGGGGAGTGCATGGCTGGTTGCAGCAAGGAGCTGGTTTTTGAGCTGAATGTGTGAGCAAAGTTGAGCTGGTGGGAAAACATAGAACCTATTTGAGGACTGCACCGTCCACACTATAGAGCATTGACTAGTGCGGAGACGGGGGAACTGGAAAAGCAGGAGGAGACTCGGGCATTGCATCCAGGCTGAGGACTGGAGAGTTAGTGTCTGTCATAGCATTGCGAAAGCTCTCCCTTCTGGAGTGGTGAGCTGGGTCTTAGGGCTGTGGGACTCAGTAGCTTCTAAAAAGGAGGCAAAGTTTCAAATTAGGAGGGAATAGGGTGACACTTCTGATATCAAGACCCAGTTGATGCTTTGTATGTAACAAGTTATTTCACCTCAAAGTAGCCCTCGGGGAGATGGTGCTCTCGAGCAGAGATATATACATGGGGGTGATCTCTCTTCCATGTGGTTATTTTGTGAAGACTTGGGCCATGTTGGCTGTGGTGGAAACTGGGGCAAATTTGAAAGCGCTGACCAAGGCTGTTAGCACAGAGGCTGGTGTGGCCCCAGTTTCTATAGGGTTTTTTCTGTCTATTATTACAGAACCGTTAAATAGCATTAGAAGCAGCTGGTGGTGTATGTGGTGTACTGTAGAGCAGATGGCCCCTGGGAAGTCACTACTGTTCTGGAAAGGGGTCAGGGAGAAGGTAAGGGAGCACATCCTGGCAGAGTATGTGTGTGTCTGTGTGTGTGTGCGCACACAGGTACACGCGCATGAGTTGTATATTTTGCCAGCTATCGTTACAGGCCCCTTCTTGTACAATACCTTTTTAAAAAGACTCTCACAACACCCTTTAAGTGCATGTACTGCTTCCTCCTCTTTCTAAACATGAAAAGCAAAACTGGCATAGGAGAGGCTACCTTGTCCCAGATCTTTATAACTCAAAGGGCTACACTTTAATGCACGTGTAGCCTGTTTTGCCACGTTTTACCTCTTTCCCCTTTCATTGAAAAATGAACTGTTTGCTTTTACCTGACTTTGGGCTGCTGGAGACCATGGATGTCAGCATTAGTGGCAGCAACAGGAGGAGAAAGGAGATTTTAACCTTCATGGTGGTTAACATCGGTGCAGCTGTGAGCAGTTGCTTGAAGAGGATGCGGGGTGTTCCCGGGCAGCGGCTCCTGATTTCTGGGAATGGCTCAGAGGTGGTTGCTGGCTTGGTGGTTTGTGCTTTAATCCCAGCTTTGCGTTCTCCCGAGAGGGCCAGAACAGGTGAGATGACGCTGACTTTGGAGTTAGGTAACAGCCTGGACCAGGTGCTTTACAGGAATCTGGGAGGGACGCTGGTCAAACAAAAGAAACACAGCAGGTTAAGAACCCCAGAAATGACTGACAAGTTGGCAGCGGGGCTCCCTCCTCTGTCCTCCTCCGTGCCTCCCCACGCCCCGCCCGTGTGTTACACTTCTCCTTCAAGACTTCTTTTCTAGCTTGAATTTCCTGGTACCTTCCAGTGACTGTTTCTAGCAAGGAAGTGGCCCAATGAGGCTTGACAGAAGGGAGAGTGACGTGTCTGTTTCTCCCTCTCCTTTCCACTTCCACCCTCGGCAAAGAGGGAGATAGCAATGCTACTGCCTAGAAAGTGGCCCCGTCCTCACCCTGGTGAAGGGTTCTACCAGTTCTCCACCCACATAAAGGTGGATGCAGGGCAGGACAAAGAAAGAGCAATCCTCCTTTGTTCAAAGCCAGTGGGGAAACCGAGCTCCTCGTTGTTCCTTGGGAAGATGGCGATGGCTTTAAAGTGTGTTTGCCTGGGAAGTGGGGGCTTCTGGCTCCAGACCTTGGTTGCAAACATCCCCAGGCAAAAGAAGAAAATGATAATACTTTAGTAAATCCTAAGAGCTGTTGTGTCAGTCAGCTTCCCATAACTATAGCAAAAACACCTGAGATTATCAGCTCATAAGAGGAAAGGTTTATTTTGGTTGCTGGTTTTGGTCCATGGTCAGCTGATCCCTGCTGCTTTTGGGCCTGTGGTGAAGTAGGGCATCACGATGGGTACACATGACACAGGGAACTGTTCGCCAGGCAGAGACAAGAAGGGCTTGGGATCTCAACTGAAAGCTGGTGGTCAACTTAAATCCCAGCTGAACTGAATCAGCATGGTGCCAAGTGTAGACGGCCCACCTGAGGAGTGTTGGCAGCAAAAGAAGGAGGCCTGGAGAGGAAGATTAGTGTTGCGGGTTCTCCTAAGTGTTGTTTGGAGCTGTTGGTTCTCCTGGAGGAGCTTGTCATGCTGGCTTCCCTAATATGAACTCGGTTGTTCTCATCACTGGAGGAGCTGGGGACCTGGTAGTTGCTGAGGATGGCTGTGGTAGTTTTAGGGGGAGCCTTGGTCCTTTGAGCATTGCGTCCTGGCTTCAGCGCAGAACCCTCAACCTACTGGCACAGATTCTTCATCTTGTTGGCGCAGACCTTCTGGCTTCCACCACTGACCTTTGGTCCTTCCCAGTGCAGATCCAAATAGACTTGCATGAGTCGTCGTGGGTTCTATACTTCCAGTTGGACTCAAGGGATATAAGGCTTTTGGGAACATTCAAGATCCAAATGACAGTTATGGGAAACTTGGTGTCTATCCTGGAGATTTTAGGAATGTGCTAAAAAAGGGGAGAGGCTGAGTCTGAGTGCTGGGTGATGCTGTGAGGGCTGAAGGGGTGGGTACCAAAGGAGTCCTTTCTGAAAGCCTCTGGGCAGCCTGAGAAAAGGTTAGGTAAGACTTTGTTTCCCTAACAGCAGGGAAAAGACAAGGTATTGATCAACCCCTCTTAAATTATTGTTAGATTATTCCCTACCCTCTCAGCTTTCAAACCGTCACTGCCTCTTGCCACACTGGAGAATTGTGCCAAGAGATGGAAACTGTTCTCAAGTGGAAGCTGTCACTTGGCCTGGGTTTTGGTTTGGCTTCTTTCTGGAAAATTCTTAAAATGCTCTCTATTCTCAGGATGCTTAAGCCTAACCAGGGAGATGGCATTCACCAGAAATCCGACAGAGAGAGGTGGAGCCAGCATTCAGAGGTAGCTGAGGACTGGGAGGGATCTCTGGGGTAGATGGTGGTGGAGCTCGGTCTCCCAGGTGTGGTGGAATCTGGCTTGGTGGAGGGCAGAAGGGTGTATGATAAGCCAGAGCTAACTGGATCTTGGAAGGCAGGGCCTGTTGATTGCTGAGTTTTGTACTCTCAGGACAAATGCACGGTCTGGTACTAGAGAGTACTCTGCAAATATTTATTGAATTGAGCGATAGTTTTGTAATCCTGTAACTGGCCTATATGGTGGGCTGTGTGTGGAAGTACAGCTTGTTAGAAGCGGGAACCTTCATGGGTACATGGGTATGTGTACACCGGGAGCCCAGCAGGGGGCGCTGTACTTTCCTCATCAAGTTGTCTGTTCCTCCACGCCGAGCATTTCCTCTGGGCTCCCCCATCTGTTTACCTCTGCTCCCCAGCGCACTGGCAGGAAGTGTTTCGCTCTGGGTTTCCCCTCTGTGGACTTGGGTGGGGTGTATCACAGGAGAGAGCTTTGGGTTTTTCGGGTTCTTTGATATACGACACCATTAAGACAAGTGGACTTTCTTTGGTTAATATTGACAGCTTCTCCTAGCCAGTGTCGGAAACATTATTTGTGTCAAGAGTCTCTGCGACTTGCAAAAGGCCTCCTCCAGAGAGGGGAAAGGGGACATAAGGAGAAAACACTCTCCCGTGGTCATTTGCTCTCTGCATTCTACAGTGTGCTTGGCAGGCAGTCAAAAGTACTTGCTACTGGCTTCCAAGCTTCGGGTTGCTCTGATCGCAGTCTTTTCTTCACACATAAATTCGTCGAACACCGGATTGCCTGATGTGTGCCTGGTATTTGCTGGATGGTGGATGCCACAAAGAATAAGGCTGGGTGCTGCCTCTGAGGCACGTCACACCTGTCCCCCTTTGCAGAAGTGGAAGTTAAGGTTCTGGGAGGGTTTATGATTAGGTCTGTGCCATCAGTCATTGAGCCTGAAAGTCACAGGAGCCAGACACAAGTTCCTGCTGGGCGTTCTGTCTGTGTGAAGCTATCTGGCTGCTGCACATGCAAATGTGCTGAGGCCTTGTAGGTGAGAGAGAGTGCACATTCAAATGATGTGGGCTCCCATGGCCACCCTGAGCTGCTAGAAGGAAATGCCCAATCCAGCCGTGACTGCCAAGGGACCATCTAGGACATGTACATTCTCTTATGTCATTTTGAACTTGGTATGAGGAAAATTGAGCCAAGGGAACCAAGAGTGGAAGACTTTTCAGAGGTGATGGATGAGATGGGCAGTGGTGACATCTATCACAGTATTTTCTCACTCTGCTATAGTGGTCTAACTTTTTTTTTTAACTTGCAGTGATCCTCCTGCCTCAGCCTCTTGAGTCCTGAGATTATGGCATCTACCATCACACAGCTCTGAACTGGGTTTCCCCCAGACCCTGGAGCTCTGAGTGTGTGTCTGGGTATGTGTGGCCAGGTCCTATCTGTCTTTGTCGCTCTAGTGTACAGTTCCTAACATATTAAATATCCCTTCTTCCTTCCTTTCTTTTTTAAATTTAGGCAGGGTCTTCCACCGTAGCCTAGGCTGGTTGAAAGTTCACTATCTTTCTGCTTCAGCCTTCCTAGTGCTGAGATTACAGGTGTGTGCCACCTTGCCTGGCTGTGATAAATATTTCTTAAGAAATAAGATGGGATTAAGAACAAAACAAAACAAAATTATACACCTCCACAGGCATGGGATGACTGAGCAGCAGCACAGGTAGGAAAAAGTGATATCCCCAAATCGGCAGATGTGGTATTTGGATTTCTAGACAAGGGCATAGGGCCAGTGTGGGGAGATGAGTCGTCCTGTGGTTCTGTGACTGTGCCTGTAACACTCCTAGAATTCTGAGTTTCCTGGGGCGTTGCCGCACTTCACATGCAGGAAGTGAAGGGAGAATGTGTGGCTTCGGATTCTGTTATTTGGAAGATGCATGAGGGGAAGTGCAGGGGTGGTGGGGTGGGGTGGTGCATGATGGCGGTTATAAGTATTTGAAAAGCTGTATACAAAAGCATTAGACTTATGTATAACCAAGCATGAGTCTAAGCATTAGACTCATGACACCTATAGGGAGTAGGGGTAGGGTTACTGGTATGTATCAGACAGTTTGGCTCAGGATACAAAAAAAACTGCCACAGTAAAGCAAGTTTCCTCTGAAAACTACATGTTTACTGACAGAGTTCAGCTAAGGGCTGTGTGAAAATAGCTGTCACAGGGTCACCAGCATGGGCCAGGAGAAGCAGCAGCCAGCCCTGCCCGTGTGTCCACCAGCCACTGGGAAACCTACGTGGGTATAGCCATGTGGGTCTGGAAAAGCCATCCCTGTACCCCACCACCTCCTCAGGAACCTGGGCCAGAGACACCAGGCGCCTGGCCTGTTCCCCTACACCATGAACAGGCAGCAGTGCAGAAAATGCCTGGGCACTGGCTTGTCTGGAGAAACCCAGGAAAATGTCAAGACAAAAACAGCAAAAGGCAGTATCTGGCCTCCAGCTCACAGAGAACAAGTCCAAGAGACACAGACCTGGAAGAAATCAGAAGTTATACACTTGAAAATTCTGGAATGATGGCAACTGAAGTAAAGAAACAACTTCATGAAGCTGTAACACAAATCAGGTCAGAAATAATATCTCGAGTAAAAGAAGAAATCACAAACATAATGAAAGGGTGGTTGAGCATATCTAAAGTGGACATGGATAGAAAAAAGAGGAGCACAAGAAAACAAGGCAGGAGACCAGAGAACATGGCGGACAGACAACAGCAACTACCAGAGGCTCTCTGAAAGGTTCGGCTCAGAGGCCAGAAATAATGCGGACTAGGGAGACACGAATCAGTAGAGATATGCTCTGCTGACTCAGGAACGAACTGGGCTGAGAGAATCCAACTTGGAATACAGTCCTGGCGCTAAAATAGGAACAGAAAAATCTCGGTGTGGAGGCTCGACTCCGCGCCATCGGAAACCGGTTTGGATTTCCCGCCGTGCGGCGGCCGGCTATCTCCACAGCGGCTCAGCAAGGAGAGACGCGCCGAGCTCTGCGAGCGCCGAGCTCTGGGAACGGGAGAACGGAGTCGAAAAAAAAAGGACGGACAGAGGTGTACACGAAAACTGACTGGTGGCGAGGTGAGTGAGAATCTGACCCCCCACCACAGTTTGACTCTGGCGGAGATCTCTCTGGGCGCCATTCCCCTCTCGGACGGGATTGGAGAAAAGTGCCTGGCCTGAGTGACGCTGCTGGCGGACTCTCTAGGCTAGACTAGCCTAACC